ATGGGGCTCGGGGACATGTTCAGAAGGAGAATCAACTGCAGGTAAATGGCTCTTGGGGCTGCTTTCATGGTCTGTCCTCAAGGGTGTCCAGGGTTCGAGGTCCCACAGCATCCCCAGGTGCTCTGCTCCACTGCTTCATCATCCCTACTGCTGGAACACAGGCCCTCACGCTTCACCTCAATCTCCCTTCCTGTAATTTAAAGACTATAACTTCTTGTCATAACCCGCCAAAGACTCCACTGTGTATACTTTATATATGCTTTGCCTGCTTTAAGGTAGAGCGTTTGTATTTCTGAGAGAACACAGAAGACAAGAAAGTTGACTCACACCTTGGAAGGTGACTTATAGGCCTTTCTGGCTGAGCAGGGACTTGACTAGAAGGCAGAAAAGTCCGCTCTTACCATACCAGTATAGTTTTAATAGACCTAAGGGTGTCTTGGCAGATAGTATTTAATGAGCAGCAATGCTTGGATACTGTGAAAGAAATATAAGAAGGTTTATTACAAAGAGCTCGTGCTTTTGTCAGTACGTGCTTGCGATCTGCCATCTGGCAGGGGCAGGAACAGCAGTAATTCTGCAGCCTTGCTCAGGCTAGCGTGAGCACCCGTGGGTGCGTACCAGAATCAACAGTGGAATGCCTGAGCACAGCAAGACAGCGGGTGAGCCTGTGGTGATCATTAATGGGATAGTCGTCATTGTGTCCAGGTAACTAGCATGATGAGTTATTCACAAAGCTCCTTGTTGGTGGAAAGAATGTTGTACTTCTGTTAAAGAGGGGGGGGAGAATGAACAGTGAGGAGGTTAATGGTGGTTGCTTTAGCTGGAGACCAGAAAGAAAATCCTCTCCGGGGTCATTTATTCTCCTGACACTCTGCTAGAGCAGAATTTGCCTCTGCTCTCAACCGCTCCTTCTATTCCAGCTTGAAATGCCTGAAGTGATTATGATGATGTCATTCTTGTGGGCTATGACATAAGGTGCAAGTGAGTGTCAGTCTCAGAAGATGCACACAGCTCTCGAGCAGGCAGGTGTCCTTGAGGACCACGTTAACACCTTCTCAAGTACCTAAACAACCCAGTTCAAGGGGCCAGGCAACAGCCGATTTTTCAGTCTTTCACCAAAGCTGCAGGAAAAGCCGTGCTTTCAAACAGCGCTCCACAGGCATTGCTTTGATTTTGGAAAATTCATTTTTAAAAAAAATAAAATCATTCTAGAGAGCTGAATAAAGCTGAATTGGCAAATCAGAGATACCCAGAAGAAACAGTGTCCTGTTTATAAGGAAAGAGTGCGGTTATGGTGGTCAGACGGCCGGGCCACAGGCCAGGTCATGCCTCCTAAACATATTTTATCTAACCTCATGTCACAGGCAGGATGTGGGGAATGTGAGATTTTCTCTTCTGAAAGGTAAGGGCCGTTCACAGACAGCGTAGGCTGGCGTCACTCCCTTGACAGCTGCTTTGCCTTACACCAGCTGAACCTCGGCTTCTTAACTGGGATATCAGAGGAAATTTCCAGACCCGCTGGGATCAGGATTGGTGCAGATCCACCTTGGTGGCTTCCCCTGGGCAGCCGAGAAGGCAAAGGCAGGCTGTGACCAGGCCTGAATGGACCCATTCTTCCCAGCCAACTGCTAACGTTTAAGGTATGTGTGTGCTTGGCAAACGCGGGGCGTGACTGTAGCACATAAATCATGCGTACAGCTAACAGGGTCTAGAAACGGCGAGGCTGTAGGTAGAGTCCCCGGAGAGTCCTGCCACTTGCACTCCCGTGCCTGTGCTGCTCTGCCCTGGCCACTGGTGTTGCATAGGGTGGCTGGAAGAAGCCGTCGTGGCCACGGAATCACCTCTGCTTGGCTGGCTGGAGCTCAGGGGATGGTGTCTCGTGCTGGTGTTTTAAGGTCCAGGTTTCTATGCAGCTAGAGGCACCTCGGTTTTCCCGCTGCAGCTTCCTTGAAAGTGATGGGCAGAGGCAGCAGTGAGATTAAAAGTGTCTTGTGTTACGTTTCCCTCGTGAAAGGAACTCTCAGTTTTAATTGCTGGATGCAGAGTTCAGCTCGTGGTCTCCGCGGGGTAGTCGCTGTGACTGCCGTGGGGCTTCCAAATGCAAAATGGACATCACTGGTGCAGAACTAATGCTGTCTCCCTGACTTGGCCTGATGGGCTTTATACGGCCTCTGCCTCCTCACACGGAGAGCACGGACCATAATCAAAAGTAATTTAAACTCCCCAACTTGAATTTTTTATGCGAATATACGGAATATGTAAGACATTCATGAGCTAGGCAGTTCAGTGGTACCCCACTGCAGGGCACAGACAGACACATGCAGAAACTGGTTGCTGATTTCTCGATACTGTGAATTGATTTTTCTCAATCATGTATAACTTCCCCTTGGACAACAGTTGGGGCCTTAGCATGGGGTAAAACTAAAAGAGACAACACTGTATCCCCCTTATCCACATGCTTATATACTGCTGTGACTAACAGGTAGCAATGCAAGACAGGACAGTGAATAAATACTGAAGGGAGATTAAAAGAGGATCACTAATACCAACCTATTTTCTTTTAGGATTTACAGAGATTTTCCTTGGTAAATATTATGCAGCTGGTGGTAGGTTTGCTTGGAGGGAGTGTGCTCACAGAAAGACAACTCTGGCAAAATAACCTTTGGGGCTGTGCCGTTAACCAGGAGAGAAACTCAGGTGGAGCTCCTGAAGGGGTGGCACACGCTGATGAGGACCACTGCAACAGGCAGACACGGCAATGTAGTGCTATGCTGCCTCTTCTTTCTCCCCAGTCTAAGAAATCTATCGTTTCCTCAGTGTAAAGGAACGAATTACTTATTTTTCAGGCTATTAAACCCAATGCAACTCATATGTGCCCCCCCCCGATGTGTTCTGGAATTGCTGCTGCTGCAATCACAGCAGGGAATGATTTTGCTGCTGCTGTTGCCATGTTTTTCTTGTGGCACATTATTAAACAAAGTTGTCTCTTGTTTTGTTGTCTTTTTTTTTTTTTTTTTTTTTTTTTAATGCACGGGAAACTTCTGCTCTAGCTCCTTGTCCAGTTTTCTTTCCTGAACCCCAGAATTCATTTATTTGAATATGTCTCCACTATTTCTTTTTTTATTTTCTTCTAGCATGAGATCTTTTTTTCCTTTTCAAACCAGTGACCAGGAGAAAGCCCTTGAGTAAGAATCTCTCACCCTCTCACATTTAGTTTATTTATCCCAGACTTTTCTCTGCTTTTCTGGCTTGGGTGTGCTCGAGGCCAGTCATTACCTTAATTACAGAAGAGCCCTCAGGGATGAAATAGCTCTGGTGCCGAGCAGGGAGCACAGACAGAGCTCAGACACACACCTCTCCTTCAGACAAGCTTTCATGCTCCTTATGCCTGGAGATGAATAAAATTCCCCATGTGATATACTAACGTGGTTTCCTCTTCCGTGGATTCACAATGAAATGTGGTTTGGGTTTTGTTTGTTTGGGTTTTTTTGGTTTTGTTTTATTTTGTTTCTTCAGAGTTCCTTCCTTCTCACCTTCCAGATGTTTCCAATTGATTATATTTTGATTTTTTTTGAAAATTTAGCTTGCTCTTACTTAATTCTTACCCATTCTTCCTTACCTAACATTTTTGCCCAGACATGTACTAAAATCCATGAAGAGCACATCAGTGGGTAGAGGTAGTATTTTTTCCCCAGTCAGTCTCTCTCTGCCCCTGCTGCACAAGTGTAAGTTGTTTTAACCATCTTGATCTCTGGGAAAAAAAAAAAAAAAAAAAAAAATGTTACAAAGTCACAGGATTTCACTTTACCTTTTGCTGTTCTGTGACTTTTCCAAGGCTTGTGAGGTACTGAAGGGCTCTGTGATGGGAAAAGTTAGCAAACGCCTTTTTCTTTGTATCAGCAAGTTCTGCAGGGTTGACTTTCTGCTGTGATATCCCCTGTTCTGGCCTTGCCTCACTCATTTACACCGACTATCACGACTTTGGGTTGTGCTACAAACAGCAAACCCCTGAAGGGGAGAAAGGTCCCTCCCGTTTGGAAGAAAACTTCCATTTTCTAGATACTTTTGGAATGAGTTTTGAAGTATGTTGTTGCTTTTGTGAAGGATTTTGTCATGTGCTACTTTGTGATGCACTGCAAAACAATTTGAATTTACCAACTCTTTTGCACTTTATTTTCCACCTCTCTCACTGGACAGATAAGATTTGCAACTTGCAGGATCTAAGCCAGGGCGGTACTTGTATGCAGGATGGAAATCTTGATAGAATCCTAGAATGCCAGGTTGGAAGGGACCTCAAGGATCAACTGGTCCAACCTTTCCTGGCAACAGGACGGTCTGGACAAGCTGGCCCAGCACCCCGTCCAGCTGAATCTTAAAAGTGTCCAGTGTTGAGGAATCCACCGCTCCCCTGGGGAGATTATTCCAGTGGCTGGTTGTTCTCGTGGTGAAAAATTTTCCTCTTGTGTCCAATGAGAATCTCCCCAGAAGTAACTTGTACCCATTACCCTTCAATCTTTTCCATGGGACTCCTTGCCAAAAGGGAGTCTCCGTCTTCTTTGCAGCCCCCCTTTAAATACTGGAACATGGTGATAAGGTCTCCCCTAAGCCGTCTCTTCCCAAGGCTGAACAAACCCAGTTCTCTCAGCCTTTCCTCGCCTGGCAGGCGCCCCAGTCCCTTGCTCATCCTCGCGGCCCTCCTCTGGACCCTCTCCACATCTTTTTTAGTACAGCAGGGACCAAAACTGCACACACTCTTCCAGGTGTGGCCTGATTAGCTTTTCTCCTTTCTTGTGACACGTCTGCACAGAGCGTGTATTTGCCGTGGGTGTGCTCACGTGCAGGCAGTGCGTGTCATGACTGTGTTTGCAAGTGATGCTCCGCAGACCTGTCTGTGGGCTTCCACTCCGCGTGGTGCTGCTGCTGCTGCTGCATCCCTGGCAGCAGCTCCTTCATCCCTGGCTGCTGTGGCTGCATCCCTGGCAGCTGCTGCATCCCTGGATATGGCTGCATCCCTGGCTATGGCTGCATCTCTGGTTGCTGTGGCTGCTGCTGCATCCCTGGATGTGGCAGCTGCATCCCTGGCTGCTGTGGCTGCTGCATCCCTGGATGTGGCTGCTGCATCCCTGGCTGCTGTGGCTGCTGCTGCATCCCTGGATGTGGCAGCTGCATCCCTGGATGTGGCAGCTGCATCCCTGGCTGCTGTGGCTGCTGCATCCCTGGATGTGGCAGCTGCCTCCCTGGCTGCTGTGGCTGCTGCTGCATCCCTGGATGTGGCAGCTGCATCCCTGGATGTGGCAGCTGCATCCCTGGCTGCTCTGGCTGCTGCTGCATCCCTGGATGTGGCTGAATCCTTGACTGCTGTGGCTGCTGCAGCTGCATCCCTGGCTGCTGCATCCCTGGCCGTGGCTGCCCGTGGCCCTTCCCGTGGAGCAACAGTGCCAGCTGCTGGCTGCCGAGCCCGGCCTGCCAGGGCTGCCGGCTGAGCGCAGGGGCTTGCTCCTGCAAGAGAAATTCCAAGGGCATCAGTACCTAAAACACAGCGTCCCTTTGCTGATGGTCTGGGTGCTTAGGGGTAATATTTCACTCTGGTAGTCCATGTTTCCATGTCAGAATAATATTCTGTTGTGCGCAGGTAAGCCCATGCTGGTTACCTCTCTTTGAGATGTTTCTTGCGTTCGTTTCAGAACTGGTTGTTAATGTTGTTTTAAAGCTCTGTGTCCCTCCTGATCTCCCGTGGCCGAAGGGAGGAGGAGGTTTCTGCTCTGAGCAGTGGAAAGGACATGAAAGGTGTCATCTGCTTCCTGGGGTGTTTTTTTAATCGTTCAGTTGCGGCAGCAACTTGCCAACTACAAATCTGAGGCGCCCCTGTGTGTTACAGCCACAATCAGCTCTGGCGAAAATGAGTTGGTTGGTTTATGTATTTCTGCACAGGGTACCACACAGTGGTTTTGGTCAGAAAAAAAGGGAAAAGAGAACGGTGAGGGTGAGAAAAATAGGAGAATGTACAGGTGTACATATAATTTTCAGTGAAATGCTTTTATAGAAAAAATGTTTTTATAGAAAAAATGGATTTTTTTTTTCCTAAGAAATATCAAATGGAAAAGACAGGTCTCTTTCTTTAAAAGTTTACTGTGAGAAGGTATTCTCATTTTTGCTTTGCTCTGTAAGGCTTTGTCTTTGCCCTGTCTCCTTCCCTTTTGGCCTGCAGTCTTTTCTAGGGGGTTACTGTGTTTGCAGGAGGTGGCAGGAGAGGTGAGTGGATGGGGAGTAGGAAACCGGCAAAAAAAAAAAAAAAAATGACACCCCAAAAAAAGATTAAAGAAGAAGACTAAGAGAGCCTTGCAGAGAAAGAGGAAAGAAGGTGAATGGGTAAAGCAAGAAACTTGAGAGAGATGATCAGGGGAAGTTTGCAGAGGAAAAAAAAGGGAGGAACAGGAGAAGACAGGCATCCAAACTCAAAGTGAGTTTGATGAGTCAGGGTTTCTGTGGGTTTCTTGCACCTCCCAAAGGACCATTTTCTACTTCCTCCCAGCCACAAATGTTCTTCATAATTTTTTTTTGGAACAGAACACGAGAGGAAAACAAATAAATCAGCTATTCTTAAACATACATGACAGACCCAGGCTGAGGCACAGGTGGACTGCAGCCATGCAAGGTCTCTAAGTCGAAATCGGAGAACTTTGGCCACCCAGCAGGTTTAGCACCATTTCCAGCCCCCTGTTACCCTTTCACTTGTGTGTCTGGGTTTTGTTTTTTTTTTTTTTTCCCCCCAATGCCTTCATAGGGAAATCTAAACTAGGCAGAAATTTTGATGCTACATTGAAAGAAAGAAACGTCAAAACTCCTCCTATGAAACTGAAACCTCGGGGTTTTGGGAGCTTTGTTTCAGGTGAAGTTTATAAATCTGATGACAAAAGTAGCTCCCAATCAGTCTATCTGGGAGCCCCGAGGTGGCCCTGGGCACCTCTGGAGACAGGAGGGCCACCGCACTCCACTCAGCGGAGGAGAAATTGTGCGCAAGTGCAGCCCTGCTTATGTCATGGGCCCTGCCGTAGTCGGGTGCTTTGCTAAATGTCCTGAGTGGGAATACTGAGCAATTAGAGGACAGTCTCAGTCGGTTTTTCAAATCTGTGATACCCCGATTCCTGGGGGTGCTGAGAATTGCTTGAAAGTGAAATTCAGATATTGCCTAACATCTGAGAAAGCAGAAGGTAAATAAACAGCAAAGAAGTTTTTAATTTAAGAAATTTCTTTTTTTTTTTTTTTTTTTTTTTTATACAAAACTGAATATTTTCTGAGGTCCTGGCACATGTTTTTGGGACTCTTCCCTACGTTTGAGCATGGTACAAACATGACAGTATTCCAACCCTCTGTTGCTACTGTATTTTTCACTTATTCACCTGCGTACTGGCCATGTCCCTTCTAGATAGACTCACAGTTCTGCCTTCTAACAATCTGGAAAAGAAAGAAGAGTAAGGACTGCTGAGATTATTCTAATTTCTAATTTGGCTCCTGCATATAAGCACTTACATGGGGTAAAATCTATACCTACCCAATAAGAATGAGCCATATGTGGCCCCAGACGTCCCTAACTAAGCACAAAACTGCTACTGCCCTGAGCTCAAAAAGTTTAAGGAGCTTGGGCTTCTTGTTTCTTAGCAAATGCTTTTGAATATTCCAGGAAATTATTGTAATGATTGTAATAGCTGTAGGTGGAGAAAGAAGCACTGGAAGCAGATCAAAATGGTAACTACATTATAGCAGACAGGTGCTGCAAACACCTGCAAGTGCCGCTCGGTCGGCTTCTCTCACAACCCATTTTTAACTAGCTTTTGTGGGAGCGGGAAAACGGGGCTGTTAGTTTTGCTGGTTAAGCTCATTTTCTACCAAGAGACGGGAACGCCAGACCTGACACAAGGAAGCGTGCACCATCCCCTTTCAGTCACAGCAAGCTGTTAGGTTGACCTAAGCCACAAAGTGTAACGTCACCTCGGTGTTTGGGAGACAGATAACCCAGCCTTCCAAACCCCAGCTGATCCTCCTGGCCTTTCTCTCTCCCCCATCTCCTCCTACACAAGCTTTTCTGCTCGTTGACAATAAGAACACATCCATATACGAAGACAGGTTTAATGCAATGACATTATAAATGTAACAAGAATGTAGTTCTATAATAAGAAATGTTATTGTAATACTTGTGTTTACAGTTTGGCTATTACATGGCATTCAGTTGGATTCCTTCTTTGCATGTTCACTGCTTAAATCACCTAATTGCCATGTTTTATTTTAAACTGCTGAGCACAGAGAAGTTTTTATTTAGTGTTATAACCTCATTTCACAAAGGGTTTGGGGTTTTTATAAGAGCTTTGTCATTTACATTGCCTATTATAAGTCTTTCAGGGTCTGCCATTTTAACATTTTATTTGTACCAAGTATGGCTGAACCTATAAAATAACAGTTAAAATCTGTTCATTAAAAATAAAGAGAAAAATCACAGATTTGGTCAACAGCAGGAACTTCTTTGAATCACTAATAGCATGTCTGGAAGCTTGAGGGTAGGAAGGCAGAAGTGGCTGGAAAGCGACCAAACAAAGCACAGAAATGATGGGAGATGTCCCAGAACGGGACGTCCCTTTTGGGCGAACTGCTCCACTTGAAGAATCCCCACAACAACCTTTCTAAGGTTATCAAAAATAAAATAACACTCATGCTCCGAAGGAGGGGGAGGTTAGGACTGGTTCTTTCCTACTGGCTTGCCAGGACTCAGTCCTGCTGCCCACCTTCCACCTGGGGACTTTCAGAAATCCCCTAAAGCTCTGCTCTCACTAGTGAGTAGTTAACAGACCACTTCCCGGGCTTTGTGTTTTACCACCTGTAGCATTTTCCTTCCCAATGAAACAACCACCTGACAGCTCTGATTTGGACTCAGATGCTCTTGCATATCCCCTGCTTGCCCCTAGCCACCCTTCCCTTCTTCCCTGAGCCTCTCTCTGCCAGGGGCCTGGACCCAACTCCCTCACCAGGAGCACGCTCTGATGTGAGAAAAGCCATGCAACAAGGCATTGCTTGGGACAGAAATGGAAATTCTGTGAAACCGATGTCTTCAGTGTGCGCTGGTCTGTTTGTAATGACACTGTCTTGACTCTTTAGTACTGATGTAAATAATTGAGCTGGTTATCATGCCTTTTTTCTTTTTTTGATTAGACAAAATTAAAATCTTTTCAGGACATGGTTTCAATTTTCAAGAATCCTTTTCTAGCCGTATTCTGATTTATTTTACTTTCACACAGACATGTGTTCCTCCTACGTTTCTCTGAGTAAAGGGAGCAGGTTACATGCTTTCTTATCCATTACAAGCCTTTGCCACAGAGATAACCAGCATCTTACTTTGAATGTATTATTATATATATAATATCTCTCAAGTTGAGAGAGTTGGGATTGTTTAGCCTGGAGAAGAGAAGGCTCCGGAGAAACCTGATAGCGGCCTTCCAGTGCTTAAAGGGGGGACAGGAAAGCTGGGGAGGGACTCTGGATCAGGGGGTGTAGTGGAAGGACGAGGGATAAGGGTTTTAAACTGAAAGAGGGTAGACTTAGATTAGATGTGAGGAAGAAATCCTTCCCTGTGCGGGGGGTGAGGCGCTGGCCCCGGGTGCCCAGAGCAGCTGTGGCTGCCCCCTCCCTGGGAGGGTTCAAGGCCAGGTTGGACCGGGCTGGGAGCGACCTGGGCTCTGGTGGGTGGCAGCCCTGCCCGGGGCAGGGTGGGGTGGAACTAGATGATCTTTAAAGTCCCTTCCACCCCAAACCATTCTATGATTCATTCTATGATTCTGTATTATTCTATTATCGAGAAAACTAACGATGGAGCAGGACCAAGACCCAACGGGGAGGCGGCAGCAAAGGGCGGTAGTGCTGCCCGTGGGGGTGAGATGTGAGGCTGGGGATGGCCGAGAGCTGTGACCCCCTGCGCCAGCCGTGGGGTTTCACTGCGGTGGGGTGGGATGCCTTGGGGACAGGTGAGGTGTCTGTGTCTGCTGGGACATGGGGTCTGGCTGTCCCCGCAGCCGCGGTGCCCCTAAATGTCCCTTGTCACCCGAGTGAGGCAGGCGGCTGGTCCCCATCCTTGCGCTGCGGGTAGGTATCATGTGGTGTTAGAAAGAAGCCCGTGTTCAAAGAATTAAATAGGGAGAGAAGTTGTGTCTGCCTTAAGAAAAATGTTTTGTATTAGCCTGCGAGGTGATGTCGTGGGTAGCCAGGAGAAAGGTGCTTCTGTAGCCACTTTTAATTTAATTTCTCAGTTAAAGATACTCAGTGGTAGGGGGGTGTTTGTTCTGAAGGGGTTGCCATCAGGACCAATCAATATTTCCTGGTGAAAAGAACTGACAGTACAAAATTGGTGAGCCTGATACTGCGGCTTTGGCTAACTTTTGCCAACTCTGACGCAGGCTTGCGCTGTGCGAGGTGGGATCCTGGCAGACCTGCATCAGCA